TGAATGATAATCTATATTGACTTCATGCTCCCTTGAGAGTGTAGTTTTTCAAGTGATTGAAATAGAAGTTATTATTGATACGTATAAAACTAGTGGGAAATTAAGAACGAGGGCTTGTTTTCTTATCATTTCTGTAATGCTGATCTTTAACAGCTCAGAAGACTCCAGCTGTGTAAAAGCACTCTTCTAGTCAGGGTCAGCTTTTAACTTCTCAACATGTAAAATGGTAATTACTTTAAATGTCTGACTCTATGAATTTCACAAAGTCTACAACAGCAATAAAGAGCTGGAAATGTTCTGGAAGGTAATGATAGGCCAAGTTAACTTTAATAACTCTCAAGAAATTTGATGATGTCACCTTCTGCTGCGGTTAGTTCTTCATTATCAGCTCAGTAAGGTTTGAGCAAGGCAGTATTTCATGCGGTGTTCCTTAAGAGTTCCTCTAAGTCTAGCAGGACATAGTGTTAGACACTGAGCCTCAAATTCTGGGGGTCCCACAACAAAGCTCTAGTGTCTATTATTTTTTATTAGCTGCCTCTAACCAGTAAGAAACATCCAGCACTGAAATGTGGATGCCGTATCAATTCCAAGGGCTGAATCAGTGTGTTAGTTGTGTCTTAGAAAGGGCTGGGCAAGTATAGGCACTGTCTGATAAATAAGATTTTTATAAGGTCCTGATCACTTGAGATCATCATTTATCTTATTGTATCTTTTGGAAGAGCTAAAGATTTTGAGCCCTAGTTCTGTTGGAGTTGTGGCAGTTGTATTCTGTCATAATTTCCCATTTGCTTAAACATTGTCATACACTGATCAGATGCATTGTTTTAACCCACGGTAAGTTGTATTATTTCAAATACTACTTTGCTCTCTGTATGTTATACAAAGAGCTCCCAAAATTTCTGAGACTGTGAGCATTGCCTGGTCGCAGAAATATCATACCTTGGAAACCCTTAAAAGGAGGACCCTCCATTTTGTCCTTTTTTGTCCTCGCAGGTGATTAGACATGCCTACTGGCATCATGCCATTCTGAATGATCCCCTCTCTGTCTTAGTTTGGCACCTAGTTTAGGTACTGGAAGTTGGACGTCATTTTCCCTAGAACTTCTGTAGTCCATGAAGGGAGATGAGCAACAGGACCTATTGCAGGAATGCTGGCTTGCTTTATATGGAGGATTATTTTCTTTTCTGACCATCCAAACCTCCTAGACATCTTGCAACCCCTGAAGTTACTGGGTACAAATACCTCACTCTTCCATTATCTGTTTTCCAGTGTTTAATGGCTGATTTTGCAGCGCTGTTTGAATGCTGCTGACTTCACATGCAGAACCAGACAGCAATTGTGATTTACTAGGTTGATTTTATGGCTGGGAAACAAAAATGTTTGTTGTAACTCAGTGACATTAACATATATTTTTAGAATATGAAATAAAAATAGCTGTTTCCAATAGAAACAGTGGGTACTAATGTAGCAATAACATGAGTGACACATGCCACAGGAGAGGAATTGTTGTTGGCATGGGTGGATGTACCCCTAGGTGTTTTTCCTGTGTCTCAAGCTGCACTAGCTTGCAGCATTACCAGAAAATTCAATTAGCGGCGTTTTTAACATGGCTCTTTTTTCTGCTAGTGCATTATCCACTTGTAGCTGTTCAATATTTAATTTATAGGTCAAATAGAGGGAGGGGGGGTTGTTTGTTTGTTTTGGGACAGGTTTGGGGGTTTTGGTTTTGTTTGTTTGAGCTTGAATTTTTGTTTGCTTTTTTGTTTGTTTGGTTTGGTTTGGTTTTGCTTGTTTGTTTTCTTTTTTAAATGAGGTTTCTTTTGTCAGTTGGCCCACAGGGGTGGTTAGAACCTCATCTCAAAATTTATCCAGTGGAAACTAAAAGTTGCTAGTCTCTAGCAACTGTTACATACATAGTCTACATTTCTGGCTGTCCATATCCTAGCAGGTAATTGTTTCTATCAAGATCCATCACCCTGGGCAGAGACTGACAACGTTTGCTGGCAGTTTCAGCAGATAGGTCAGTGATGGAGCAGGGGCTGTCTGCAAGGGTGTACCAGTAGAGAGGGTTGAGCTTCACTGAGAAGGCAGCCTGGGGACTCTGGCACTGCAGCAGACTGAGTGCTTCCTCGTTATATGGACAGAGCACTTCAGTCTCCAGCCTTGTCAAGCTGTCACCTTTCATCAGCAATAAATCTGCTTGCTAAATAATTGAAAAAAGTAATAAAACATTTTTATTATCCATGACAAATGCTTGTCTTAGGAGAAGTTGAGAAAATAATGACTTGATTTAAATATTTATTAAATCAAGTAATTTTTGAGGCATCTTTAAGGCCTGAAGGTATTTTACGTTAGGATAAAACAATTGCATAATTTATGTTATATATTATGCCACTGGTGCAGTGTTGCTCAGAAGAAATAAAACTATTCTCACTTTAATGTTTTTAATTTTAAGCTAGCCTGGCATTGCATGTTAACAGCATTTTTGTCCAATTTCTCAGTCTGCTCTCTCTTGCCAATGCCATCTGCTTTCTTGTTTTACCACCTCTTTAACAACCAGGTGATTTTTGCCATCTTTACCCTCCTCCTCAAAATGCCCAGCAGTCCCATTTGGGTTTATGGGGTTAGTGTGCTAAGCAATATTCATATGTTTATATAAATGTGTCCCCTATCCTAAAGAACCTTTTTCCATTTCTAGTTCAATAGCTTCTAAGTCTTCCAACATCCTGATTTATAACACTGAATTATTTTACTGGTCTGATCTGCTTGTTATGCCAGCTGGTTTTGTTGATCTGTAATGTATTCATTTATGCAGTAGGTTCTACTCTAGCAAAGCACTTCATTTTAAGTGTGCAGGTAGACTTGGTGAAAAGAATGTGATTAGCTCAAATCTAAGCACCTGCCTTAAATGCTTTGCTGGATTTGAGGCTTAGGAAAGAGAAAAAGATTGGTCTAATTATGTTGAATGTGTTTTAGAGCTGCTTTATCCTAATAGCCTTATCATCAGACCAACCTCTGGTTATGGATACTCAACATAAAATATTTCTCATGCTTGCCAGGCTTTTCTATTCACTTCATAGTTTTCTAGATCTCTTTCCTGGCTTTTCTGAACTTTAATCTCAAACACAGTATGCATAGGAAAATCTATCTATGCCTCTTAGGAAGCAACTTTAGAGAAACCATGTCTTAAAATGCTGGATGTAAAAGGGAATGAGAAGCTGGTGTCATGAGTTCATTTGTTTTTTGTGTGTGTGAGGAGACCAAAATATTTATAGAAGTTCCAGACTATAGTAGGCCACAGAATAAATGTGCCAGTGGGACCAGAATGATGAAAAAGGAGGAAAAAGATAAAATGAATGAAATAAGGGCTAAATTCTGGTCTGCTATTAATATTGAGCCAGTATTATAACTATTGGGGAAAAGAGAAGGGCATAAACTATTGAAAAGGAAATCTGAAGAAAAGATGCACATGTATTTTTCCAGTTCTAGGTCTTACCTGCTGGTGTTTGTCTTTTTCCATTCCTCAGATCTGTGTGTCCTCACTCCCACAGATGCCAGGGGGATTTACAGCACTTAGTTTAACTCATGGTCACTGTAAAAACTGCCCTAGACCCAATGTTAAAATAATTGCTGCTACTGCTTACACAAGTCTGGATTTAGGTAGACTGGGTTTTTGCTTTTCCTGCTGCTGCGTGGCCAGGGCATGAGGCATTGCCAAGACCAGAAAGCTACACACAACCCCAGGTGTTTTCAAAGAAAGGAACATTTGTTGAGTTGTCTTTGCAAGCCCTTCCTCTTCTGCAGTGTTTGGCTTGGATGTGTTGTCATTTCTGAAGCTGTAACAAGCTCCTCGTGGAATTCACACTGTGCAGTTTCCTGTGTGTTATTTTTCAGAGGCAAGGCTATACTATGGTTTTCTTTCCCCCTTGTTCCTCCCTACGTGAGCTTTTGGCATCTTTATCAAGGATGGTACTTGAGCAAATGCTTAAAGTGATTGCACTGCCTAGACTCGAAGATAGAAATAGACTTAGGCACTCTTGAAAAAATATGAACTGAGGCAGATGTTTAATGCTTTCTAGGATGCAAACCAAGTGTTTTCTCAGAAAGATTATTCATAATTGTTTTTTACCATATATATCATGATAGGGAGAGGGAGGAAAAAAGGAGGAAATAGCTGCATAGCAGTAGATTTGTAACAACTTCTCATGCTTATGATTAGTTGCCACCAGTGTTTTCCACTGAATGCAACCTATACATGGGGCAATAGTGTCCCAGGCTTTTGCCTTCCTTCTTTTTAATGGGCACGGGGCAGACAGTGGTGGGTAGTGGACAATCCTTGGCTCTGTGCACAGCTCTGCCCTGCCTCGCTGAGAGTCTTTGCTCACTTTGCCTCTCTGTCTCTCCTTCCTTCTGTGTCTGTTTAAATTACAGAGGCATAAAAGGCTAAAAACTGGCTCTTTCTCTGTTTTTGACCCTGCTGCCCATTGGCATGTCAAAATGTTTTTGTAATGTAAATAATTATTAAGAAATTTCTCATTTGCCACCTAATCATCTGCAACTTGAGACTCTGTATATGAGGCTGACTGACCACTCCGCCACCAGTATGAAAAAAATCTGAGAGGTCTGAGGATACCTTCAGGTTTTCTGTGTTTGTGGTGTTGATCTTCAGTGATGGTTCAGCTGCCAGAGACTTGGGCCCACCCTGTGGACTGTTGAAAGGTCCATGAAGTGTCACAAAAAAAAAAATTAATATAGAAGCATGCAGTTTCAGGGCAGTATTGGAAAAGCTGGCTTGATGTCCATACAGCTTTCATGCAACATGGGCAGTCTTCTGCCTTTCCAGTGTGTCAGTGCAGGGTTCGCAACATTTTTGGTAGTATATGAGAATGTAAGTGGACTGAGGCATCGGTCTTGCACATACTGTGAGCTATGTTCTCAGCTCTGAGGCTATATGCATAATGCTTTCTGCCTAACATTAGTTTTCTATTTGTCTTTTGCAGCACTTTTACAGGCAGTCATAGCTGGTGATCTGCTGAAGGTAAGTACAGAACATTGAGTGTCCGCTTTTTCACAGCTTTTTGCAGGTTTGATATACTGTAAATTTTATCACACCTCTGCTCAAAACATAAATAGACTGCTGTAGGGACTGCTGGCACGTGCCATTTTACAGCCTTTCCAGGAAACCCTGAATATTAGGGGAACACATCAGTCAGGTGAGGTGTGAAATTCGAGTGAATAGGATCTGGTGTTAGACAGCAGCTTTCAGCCCAGGATTCATAGTGCGTTGCACAGAGCAACGTGCCAGTTACTAACAGGGAAATTACTATACTGGCAAATGCAACATTGAACAGCAGGGTAGTTCTGATACAGCCTTACACAGTGAAGGATATTTTACAGCACTGAGGTTGGTGGCCAAGCCCCTAGAGTTGCTAGAGTCTTCTTAACTTCTGTCTAGGCAACCACCAGACCAGGTAGAACAAACCTCAGCTTGTTTTATCATCTGATGGATGTCTCAAAACGTGTAGTGTCTTGGTATTGTTAGTTGTTGGGAGGTAAAGGCAATGACAAAAACATGTTTTGTGCCCAAATTCTGAAGTTCCATAACTGACAGTTATTCAGGCTGGGCTTTTCGGTAGCCAAGTCAGGAATTGAAAGCATGTCCTTGAATTTGGATGAGGACTGTGATTAATGATTGCAATTTTATCTGTGAGAAGCCAGCTTGGAGCCATTTGTAAAAATGACAGTACTGTTAGGCCAACTCTTTGCAGGTGCCCCTTCTATACCTCTGCCCCTGTGTTTGTGGCTGCAGCATCTAGAAAGCAGTCCTTCAGCCAGCAGTCATAAAAATATTGTCCCCTTTCTGCTTCTTGAAAACTTTTTGCCTGACTTTGCTTTGACAGGGAAACTTCTTGCCCTTCTTCAGAAGTAGTGCATCATAAATGATGCCATACTTCCACAATCCTCTCCTTCTTTTCTGCAGTGATTTGCACTGCAAACCTCCCCAGAGTTTGCAACAATTCTGGGACCTGGCCGGTTGTTGTTTCCTCTCCATTCTTCACCACGTAGCGCTTCTTTCCCCTTCTGCCAGCCCTGGCTGGGGGGCAGAGGTGGAGAAGGGAGATATGGGGCAACTGAACCCCACTGCCCTGTGGATTTTTGAGTTGGAGTTCTGTGGTTTAGTCAGAAAGGGTCTGCCTCCTGGGCTAAAGAAAAATTGGGATTTTCAGTAGGGAAGCTAGAACTTTTTGTCAGATACATACACTTTTAAATACTTTTAAATACCCCAGAAGCTTCAGCAGAAGTGGTTTTGCAAGCATTGCTAGCAAGCAAGAATTCATTGCAATGTCAATTAGCAATGTCTCATTTTTTAGGAAATACAAACTGCTCTTCTTAAGCCATATAATTGTCAATACTTCTAGTTTCAGATAATTTTTCATTGGGGCCTGAAAGCTGGTTTTAAAGTAAAGTTTTATTTCATTGTATTCCATTTTTTTACTGACCCCCTATGAAAATAGTAAATAACTTGCCTGTATATTTTTTTCTCTGCTCTCCCTCCTCTCATCTTATCCTTCTGTGTGTTTGTTGTTTTTATTTTACAGTTCATAGAATGCTGTAAAAAAGGAGCCAATTTGCTAATCCAAGGACCTGATCACTGCTCGTTGTTGCACCATGCTGCCAAGTCTGGGCATGGTGAGATTGTGAAATACATCCTTGAGCATGGTGAGTCACAGTGGGCAAATCCACAGAGAGATGTACTTTAGCGAAGTGTGGGTCAGGTAAAACCACACCATGTGGCTGGAAGTGCCCTCACTCATTTGTGGTCACCCTAGGAATATGTCCACCTGCAGCATGGCTGAGCCTGAGGCTGAGGATGTGGTAGCAGTGACACTGATGGCTCTAGATAAAGTGTGGAAACAAAAGTAAAGATGGCTTTTGAGGAGGATGGGTATTTTTACCTAGTTAGGGGGCTGTGAAGCAGCAATGTGATGCTCTATCTAGTTAGAACCTCTGGCATAGGAATCCTCTGAACTAATTTGGTTTTCAATTAGACCATATGTTGCAGAAAGTGTCTAATCTCCACTACAACATTTACAACAATGCAGAGCTCACTCAACCATTGGTATTATTTCAGTATTTAATAACACACTTGTTAGGAGTCCGTGCAGTTATTTCTAGACTGGATTTACCTAGTTTCCCTTCCAACCTTCCAATATTATGTCTCTGTTATATTCAAGACCACACGACAACAAAAATTTATGATCTCCATTTTATATTTATATGTTGCGATCCTGCCATTTTCCTTTTTTCCTTTTGACTCTCTTTATCTTTGTCAATAGCAGGATTACAGGCGTGCTTACACAGGGTATGCAGCAATCTGTGCGTGTACACACATTTGAGGCAGTCACATTCAAGAGTTTCTGCCTGTTGGACTACCATAATCTTATTCACTGGTTGCTGGAGAGTGGTTCAGTAATATTGTCACTGCTCGGCACACAGAGCTAAATGACCAGCCTCCTGCACTGTAGAAAACATTTTCTAGTCCTTTAAATATTCTTGTAACTCTTCTCTGATCCCTCTTTAAAATATTAATGCCTATTCTGACTTCTGGATGTCAAATTAGGGATATTATTTCAGCAGCAATGTTAGCACTAAATACAGAGACCACTTCTGGTAATTGGAATAAGTGTTAGCTAATGCTCAAAAGTTACTGCAGAAATTGTACAGGGAGAAGAAAAAAGCACAACTCATAGGAAACTCAGAAACAGTAATTAATCCGTTAACATTTGGGTTAATTGGGATGCAATTAGCTTGAGCTTCACTCCTAAGTTTAGGTGTCTACATATAGGTGTCATGTAATCTATCGGTCTAAGTTCCTGTGCTGTCAAAAGAAACCTATGACTCAGTTCATTTGCTCATGTATGACAGAGGTACCAGAGACCATCTGCCCCCTTTCAAGGGTAGATGGAAGTGAGGTGGGCATCTTTAATAACATCAGGTTTCTAGCATGACATGCTCAACGGGGACCCTAGTGAAAATAATCATTGGAGCCCAGCAAATGATTTGGCTGACAGTTACCTGTGTGCTTCATTCATTTAGCTAAATATAACTGTATAATGTCATTTGCCCCTGGACATCCAGGAAATCTGCATGGGTCTGCAAGTTGACATACAAAGCCTGTAAGAAACCCACACTGGACTGGCAGCTGGACCCCAACCAAGCATCCCTGTCATTCCAAATACATCCCAAGACCTGCCCTTAGGCATATTGAATGGCACATATCTGTGTGTGGGCAGCTAACCGTTCCCCAGATACCCAATGGAGGGGGTCTGAACAGCTGCTTTACTCTTTTATGTATAGATACCTACACATGGGTAGCTACGTGTAGTTGGCCTTACATCCAAATATTAGCCGGTTTTCTCCACAGTTGTAACCAGTAACAGTGTTAACTCTACCTCCTGTTCAACTTCTCTGGATTATCTCATTAGTTACATTGCTTATATGTACCTCTGAATTCCGTAGACAGACATAATTTCACTTAATTTTTTTAATGCCTCTCCTCTCACAGTGCATGTGACAGGTGCCAATTCACTGTCATGGCTGCCTCTCCAGGATTTTTCTTAATCCCATATACCTTAACTTACAGTCTGACCCAGTTACTGGTCCTTTGGTGAAGGTTTAAAACAAGATAATTTAAGCTGGTAAGAATGTGAGCAGGGAATCCATGGGAATTTTTGAAGTGAATAGAGAAATGTGAGGGATTACGGACTGTTAGACAAAGACAAACCAGAAGGTTGAGCAAATGTCAGCTCAGTTCCTCTCTCCCTCCTTTATCCCCAAGAATGGCAGGAAGCTTTTGCAGCTTTCCAGACATATGTCCTCTGGGCTTCTCCAAACGCATTGTTTGTTTAACATTCTCCAGGGATCAGAGAGTACATGGGACAATGCTCTAATAGGGGCCTTCTCTCTTCTCCCACCGAGCAATTAATGAAACTCATTTCTACCCTGGGCATTTCTCAGTCACAAACGAGCTCTCTTGCTGAATCATCATCATAATGTCCTTGTTTTTCTGTTGCGTTCTCTGGCATCTGGCATCTTCTCAAGATTAATTAGTGTATAAGACCCAATCCAACGCTACTAATATCTGAGGCTTTCCCTGCATCTAGCTTCTCATTTCTGCTGGTATCCGCCCTTGATAAAAATGAGTCTTACTCCTGTTCTGGCAATTACTTCTGCCCAGCCACACTTCCTCTGTACTTTTTCTGCTTCTGATACATGGCTGAAGATAGTTAATATTAATAGAAGTTCCACTGTAAAATACCCTCCGGCACACAGCACAGAAAACCCATTATTAATCACACAGGGAAAAATCTTCTGAATATCTTTAAAAAACAACAAAACAAGACAAGACAAAAACCACCATACCAGGAATTTTAACTGCCTCGTGTGCAAATAGCAGAGTGAATCGAATGTGATACAAGAGTGGGGCCCATAGCACTGGTATTGTGAAGGACAGAAAATGCTGCAATGATGCTGAGACTGTCCTTTGTGGAGATGGCTTTGTGCTTTCTGCAAACATGCAGGGTACATTAATATGAGAAGTTATTCTGAGATCTTGATCAAAATGTTATAGGGAGGAAAATAACCCTTCTTAAATTAGAAAAAGCAGAGATGAGTCACAAAAGGAGGGTGCTGTGCAGCATTGCCAGATACTTAGCAGTGGACTAGCACAAGCCTGGAATAGCAGCTGAAGCATCAATGTAGTAGGTGTCAGGACAACAGCTGCTTGCTGCTGCAGGAGGAATTGTGTTGGCTGCTGTTCCTGCAAAAGAGTTTCTCTCTATCCCCCGTTCAGGAAGGGCAGATACACAGACCTATCTGTTGTTCAAGACCGCCTTCCTCAATCAGGGGTCTTTTGCTTGTAGTAAGAAGGTCACCTTTTAAGATCTGCCTGTAGCTGGGCTAAGGAAGCTTAGCTTGAAACTGAGGGCCACACTCAGTAGGTATCTGTTTAATGCTGCAGTCAGCAGCTGTCTCACACCCTAATGCATAGACATTAGAGAAGAGTTAACTGTTTACTTGCTTAACACAAACAGAATTAGGGAGGGCTTAAGAAGATGTCAGAAAAAGGACCTCCTAAATCATCATCTGTGTTTGGAATCAAATTTGGCTTGTAGTCTTTGTCTGGCAGTTCTGAACTATTTATAATTTATAACCATTATGCAAGACATTCCAAGGTTTGCCTTCTCTTTGTCTTCTCTTCTCCAGAGGCTCAAAAGACAAACAAGGATTCTGTAGTTCATCTAGTATATTTTAACTTTAAACAGAAGAGAGGAAAGAAGTTTACAGTTGCCTTAGGAGTTTGTGGTGAGAACTTCTGGTGGAACAGTCAGTCAGTGAAGCATCCCATCCTGAACATTTCTGTGACCACAAACCTCAGTGTCCTTGCTCCATTAAGTAGCATCCTCTGGGAAGATGTAGGATGCTTTAGTTACTCTTAGCACTGTAAAGTCAACAGTAAAGAGCTATTAGTGAGTTTGGGTTTGCACTCTGACCAGACTCAGGAGTTCCAAAGAAGACTTTTGGAAAGAAAATTTTGCCATGACAGAGATGTACATCAGGGAAAAAGTTTGAATAGTCATCACAAACCAACACTGAAGAGTGAATTTGCCTGACATTTGCTAGTATGTCTAGTTCTGTAGAATGTTTTAGGGTAGTGGACATCTGTGAGGAATCTAAGCAGAAAACAGCTTAGTTTTCCTAGAAGGCACAAGGAAGTCTGTTTTAAGGTGTAAGTTTACCAAATTTTAGGTCAACATGCTCCTATAGACCAACTACCCTCTATGTTACTGTGGAAATTCTAAGCTAAAAGACACTATCAGTAAACACCAGACACGGTTAATCTTCACATAGGGTGAAAATGAGGAGTGTGGAGTATAGGGAAGGCTTGAAATAGTTCTGACTATGCAGATTACCATTATTTTAAAATATTCCCTCTCTGAATGTAAGGAACGAAATGCAGTTTTGTCCCCAAGATAACAACCACCACCAAGTTATTAAACAAAGAGGGTGTTCGACAGATAAACACCAAAAAACACTGATAATATCTAACATTACTGCTTAAAGCAAATGTCCTCCTTCCCTAATTCCATGAAGGACTGACAGGACAAGGGACTGGCAGGGGTTAATAGCTGGGGGTCTCCTGTGGGTAGCTGTAACCACATCCATTGGAGAGGGCAGGGTGTGCTGTGGGCCGGAGGCCTTTCGGACTGCATGGTGCTGTATATTTTGGAAATGCCTCTGAAATATAGTCATTTTGTCTCTCTTTTATGTTGTAGTGAGCTCAGCTAAAGGGCAGCTGCTTTTGAGCGTCTATTTCCCTTCCCTCCTCCCATCCCCAGCTCAGGCTGCTTTGCCTCCTGAGAAACTGGAGAGGGGCTTTGCCGGAGTGAAAGGGGGCAGAAGGAGAGAAGGAAAAAAGTTAATAATTCTGCACAGACAGTCTATCGGAGATGTTAAGGAAAGAGAGTGATCTCAGCTGGGCTTCCCCTCAGTGCGTCATGCTTTTCAGCTCCTTTCATGCGAACTTCTCACCACCCCCCCATTCCTGCCATTCTTTAGCCCCCGAGTCTCTCTCTCTCTTTCTCTCTCCTTTTTTTTCCCTCTCTCCACCTCTCCACACATTTCTATCTTTTGTTTTTATTTCCCCCCCTGCTGTTTTCCTTGATAGAAATCTCACTCATGCATTTCCCTTCCGGATTTCTATTGGGTTATTTTGTCCTCTCTTTCTCTGCGCCTTGGTCCCCTTTTCTTTCTCTGCCTCTTGTCCCAGAGTAAAACAGCCGCCTCCCCGCTGGGTCAGGATGACAGTGCCGTTAGCTTTCCCAGTGCCAGCCCTTCCCACATCTGTGCAGCTTTTGTCCCGGGGCAGAGGGGGATTTGGAATGGTCGGTTGGCAGCGCCAGGGAGACTGATGTAAAAATGAGATCCAAAAAAGGGGGGAAAGGGAATTAGGAGGAGGGCGTGAGATGGTTTAAGAGAAGCACAAGCGAAAATAAAATAAAGAAGTAAAGGGCACAGCTTGGGCTGTGTGTGAGTTGGGACATTCCAGCTTCAGAGATAGGCAAGAAAGAAAGAAACGAATGAATCCTGGTACCACGTTGTGCTGCTAATCGATTAACCCCCGTATCTGTCCCTTATGTATGACAGGGATGGAGCTGGGGAACCCCCATGAAATGCTTTATTTGGGACAGCATCCAGGAAAGCACCCTTCACGGAATGTACCTGGCACCTCCATAGGTCTGTGCTCACAGGCTTCCCTCTCAGTCCTCAGAGCTCAGCTCCTTTGTCCTAGCCTTGCTGTTTCTTCCTGCTTCAGACCAGTTTTCCTTCACCAATGGCTTCACATCTCTTCAGACCCACCCTGCCCAGCTTCTTCTCCCTCTCAGCAAATATTCTGACTTCTCTCCATTCTTCCTCCTACTGCTCTAACACCTTTTTCCGTTCTCTTCCACTTACCAGGGCAACTACCTCTGTGCCCAATGCAGCCAGCCTGGTCACCCTGTTCCACCTTTGCATCACAACCTTGTCCCATCCATGAACAGAAATAATAGTTTACTTGGCAACATCTTTTCCAACATGCTGCAGGTCATTTCTTCTTACCTATCACTGGGACGTGGCATTGCAGCAAGCCATGGAGAATTGCCTCTATTTTTGAGATAACATGATTTTCTTTTCTCCTGGGAGATGTAAAGAAGTCTTTTTGTTCATCTGTTAAGTTTTTTCTTTTTCTTTTTAGTTTCTCAGCCATTTTTTTTTCCCCTCTCAAAGAGGGGCCCTGCTTAGCCCCCTGTATCCTTTTTCATGCTTTTGGAAGCTCAGAGGTCATGAGTGATTCTTCTTTTTGATGGGGAGGATTGAACACATAACTGCCAAGTGAGGAGATGAGGATGTGTGGTGGTAGAGTCAGAGTGCTGTGCTTTAGAAATTGATAGTGGCTAATGACTTTGGAGAACTGCCATGATAGGTATGCAATGTCCTGTTCACAGGGGACTAAGCATGATACTTTTTTGACCACCTCTTTTTCATGATGACAAAATCTTCAGGAGCTGAGGTAGCCAGCTGCCCCAGTGATACTGCATGTGCATGTTGTAAAAGGAAGGAGGGAGAGACAGGCTGCTCTGATCCATTTTTACATGCATTCAGAGTGAATGGAGTGTAGAAATGTTGTGTGTAAGCCTTTGTAAGCAAGTAGTGTGAAATTCCTCAGTTTCAGGTGCGAGTTGCTGTAAGCTCTTGAGAACTCTTGAATTTCAAAGTCAAAGTGTGCTGAAGAGAAATATTCATGCACAGGAAGGAAAATTCCTGTAAAGTTTCACTGTTCCCCTTGCTAACTGCCCCATACCATCTGGCACTATGCTCCAGAGCAGTGGAGAGGAGAATAATAAGCCAGATTGCAAAAGGGAAAGTTTTTCTCGTTTCAAATGCTATCTAGATCCTAGCCTTTCCATATCACTGTAATTCAGTGATGGAATTTGCTGCTATAAACATCTGCCTGTGGTGAATATCAAGCACAAAAGAACATTAGCATAAATGCATTATTTTGTCCTACTTAACAGAAATCTTTTCTGTTTTTCTTAATCTTACTTTCCTGATCATTGCTAACCAGTAGAGTACAGGATTTGCATATCAATATAAAGACTGCTGGGAATATTCCACCCTGATCTACATTCTGTATAACGCTATTAAATGGAGTAGCACAGGGATGTCATTCAGGGTGGAATTTGGCTAATTTCAACTTCCTGATGACATTTTCCCTCTAGTACTAACAATAGATTTTAACTTGCGATATATCAGGGTTTCCAGTATATCAGCATTTTCAATGCACTGTATTTATGTGAACCACTTAATTGAGCAAGGTGAAGAGAAAATAAACTCCATGAATATTCATTCCCAGTATAATTTAGAGGCAGCAACTCCCTGGTGCTGACGCTCCAGCAGTGACTCTGCATTCAGAATTTTGCTAGTGCAAGGGCTTGCACAAGCAAATATTACCTTGAAGTTTGGCATATTTGTGCAAATCGAGCTTTCAGTTGGCTGCTTTTATATATTTGGAACTGGAGTCTTCCCCTGGTAGTTGTACTCCTTAAGTCATGCAGACCACAGCTATATGACATACCTGACTGTCTTTTGCAGGTCCATCTGAACTGCTGGACATGACAGACAGTGAAACGTAAGTACAGCCTATCCTGCCCTTCACATTATGTGCCTTGCCCTAAAAGGTTTCTATTGTTTTTCAAGTGCAAGCTTTCAAATAAAAAAAAGCTTGTAAAATGGCACATCTTTTAAAAAACAAACAGACAAAGTCACCCTCAAATCCAGACAAGCACCTCATATGTGGTTTTCTGCCCTAAAACAAATGTTTCTTGAACTCCAAAAAGGACTTTCTCTTGGTTGCTTCCTATGTCTCCTTAATTTTTCTCGAGTCAAGTCCTGTATTGGCCTTCGATGTTTCCAGAATCCAGTTATGGAGGAAACAACCTGAAGGGTAAATTCCAGAAATCAGGAAATTACTTTTCTTACTCCATGCCTTTTCTTCAGTCCTTTCTTGATTCATCCAAAGTGCTCTGCCTTAGCTGTCCCAAGTGGCCACAACCTGTGCAGTTGAAGATGTATCTCAAGTAGTTAGAACTTTGGTCCCCTCTGTTATTATCAAGAAGAAGACTTTACTTTCAGGTTACCAACTGCTCTATGTCTTGTTATATAATCAAGGTGTCACAAAGAGTATATAAGGAAAGCATGAATAATCCTGGGTAGCATATGGAGTATATGGGAAGGAAAAGCAGCCTTTCTCATAGGGGTTAAACCTATCATTCCCCATCCCACAGTGCCCTCCTCTGCTAACGGAGAATGTCACAAAGCTTCTGCACAAGGTGCATGTGTGCAGTCCAGGGGTGATGGGGTATGGATAGAATATCTGTTGCTCTTCATCCAGTAGCACAGCACAAACCCTGGAACAAAGTGGAAGTGAATATGGTGTGAGTGGTGTGAGGGCTTCCCTTTACAAAGGTCCCTCTACTGCTAACTCTTGAAAAGGGAGTAACTGGCAACATGAATTTGTCTTTTGATCCTTGGGGTGAAATCAGATAGAATGGTGTTCCAAATGTGGTTCTCATGCAGCAGGGGCAGATTCATTACGAGGTTGCCTATTAATATCTCAACTTGCCCCGTTGTGGATTGAGGCAGAAATTGCTTTATGCACTCTTTCTTATTGGGTAGGTGGGTGCAAGATTTGTCCTGCTACGCATATTTCTTGTCATTTGTTGTTTGGAAGTTATTTAATGGCCCTATTTGTTGGACACTAGTATTAAGGACATCTTTTCAACCCACTCAAAGCATACTTTCCTCTTCTCCCAAGGAGTATATCTAGATGGAATATAAAAAGATTTCTTTAACCTCAGTACTACAGTCAGGCTCAGAATTCTAGCCCCAGTCTGAGTGAGGAGCTTTGCAATAAATCTGCTCCCACTATGCAGCCCTCTTTTTTGAGAAGCATGCATTCAAGCTTCCCCAGTAGCTTGCCAGTTCAGCAGTGGAAAACAAAAAAATGGCTCTTGCTCTCATATATCCAAGAGAGCAGGGTATCAGAACCAGGACAAGTGCACCAGTCATGGCTTTGATGGGCAGGATTTTTCTAGGATGTGTCCAAGAATGAGGCTGAGGAAAAAAATTGCAGAAAGAAACGAACAGTGTTGCTGGTTTTCCTGCTGTGAAATGAGAAGGTGGCTAGTTTGCTTTTGCAGCAGTTAGCAGATCTCTGGTGGATGGATGGGAATGTGACATTCGGTCCTTTGAATACATAAAACCTGTGCACATTTCTTTCCTGCCCCTCAGAACTTCTTCGTCTGCTATTTGTGCATTGCAGGCTTTCTTACTGAGTCAAAGGATGTAGATGCTCAGGGAGTGAGTGCACAAGTCTACCTCTGCCAGGAAGAGGGAACTTTGCAGAAACACAGCATCCTTCTCTCTCTGTCCTCTGCACCTCATACTTCATAAATGTACTTTGGTGCGATGTGTCTCACTGCTGGTTTCTGTACTTTGGTCTAGGGGTGAGACAGCATTACATAAGGCAGCCTGCCAGCGCCATCGTGCCGTCTGCCAGCTCCTGGTGGACGCGGGAGCCTCTCTGAGAAAGACGGACTCCAAGGTAACCCAGCCCCATCAACCAGTTATAAAATCCTGCAGCCAAGCGAGACCGATCAGCATCCGTCCCTGCTGTGTGCATGATTGAGGCTTCCTCGTCTGTGCCAAAAGCAGCTCCTTTTTAAACAAGTTATTTTTATTTAGAAAACTGTATTGATTTAAACAAGTACAAGAGGCTTCAGTTCATTCCCCAACATGGGTCATCTTCACTATAGTGAGAGCTTGGCCTCAAACTGTTTGGTGCTTTGGGTGTGAATGAAGCATCTCCATGGCACAGCATCCTCCTCCTCCTGTGTGGTCAAAAGAGAGACCTGTGGGCAAGGACCACCCGGGGGAGCCTTGGTTTGTGATTGCATAGCGTCTGTGAGGCTTGATTATTGTGGCTGACTTGCTTTGTGAAGATGGCTAACCATTTTCATTTGCCCTTGCTTGCCCCTATGCTTACTGATGTGACACTAACCACAACCCTCTCTTGGTGAATGCTTGGCTGAGAAAGAAGCCTGGGCAAAATTAAACCCTAGGAATACTCTGCCAATACAACAAACTGATCACTTGGGAACATGATCCTGAAGCTGCTCCTCTGGCATTTCTGAACATAGGCATGCTGTGGTCAGCAGCTGAAAGGTGGTTGGGTCTTTGGGTTCCAGTGTCAGAAGCACCTTTGCTGCAGCAAGACAATTAAAACAATTCCTGCCACATTATGCTCCATAGATAGCCTATAAAGGGGGCAGAGATCACCTCTTTTTTCAAATGAGAGTACTGTACATTGCAAAAGATAACTTCTACAACAGCTGAAATCCAGACAAGTGGCTTCTGACTTGTTAATCTTTATCTGTCCAGAAATCCAAGAAGCAGGAGAGTTTTTGGGGAGATACTTTAATGTGCTTCCAGTATTTCTTTTGTAGGTTAGGATAAAGACTTGTGGTCCGATGTAACAGTAGTCATAAGATAGCTCAGATAACAGAGTAGCCAAATTGATGCACTGAAATTTATTTGTACTTAAGATAGAATGAGACTTGTTAAACTCACCTCAATTGTTGGACGTCTCTGCACATCCTTTTGCAAAGCATGTAGTCTGTGAAGTGCACTTTTCAAGTGTGAGCTACAGTACTGTGCATCATATTCATTCACATAGGGATTGTGGCCCTACAATGAAAAATCAGTTCCTTCCAGCATGTGAGCCTTTCTGTGTGATGTATCACATAGCATGTCCTTGAAGAACTGCATGACTTGTCCTAAATCACAGAAGGACTTTGAAAATATTCAGAATCTCGTGACAGTGATAGAAAAACTTGACTTAATGCCAACTTGTACAACAAATAATTAAATTCATCAAATTTGCTTCTGTCCTTCCTGTAGTAATTTCTCTGGGTCATGCTTTTGTCTGTTCTTTTAAATAAGTCAGCATAAGACTTTCTCTTCATGTTTCTTTATTATAGGGTAAGACTCCTCGTGACAGGGCTCAGCAAGCTGGTGACCCAGATCTGGCCTCCTACCTGGAGAGTCGACAAAACTATCAAATGGTTTCCCATGAGGATCTGGAGACAGCAGTCTGATGTCTGAAAGCGTAAAAGAGGATCCTTGGAAATCGCAAGGCTGCACCTGAGGCACTCGGGCATCGCTTGAGGAGGAAGCTGATGGAATCAAAGTGTCTCTCACTCTCATGGAAAATATCTGAGGACATGCCACCAGTTTCTAAGGGCTACTGAGTCTTGCCACGGAACGGTTAGGTTCCATAAGTTAGCCCATGATGGATAAGGCGGGACACTCAAAGGTCTGTGGAATCCATGGGCCACGGAAATTTACCTTTATTGCTTCCAGCAAGTAGCATGAACTTCTCCCATGTTCATCTGTACAATTTATTTAAAAAAAAAAAAAAAAGAAAGGAGGAAAGAGAAAAGAGGGTGCGGGGGAATCAAACTAACTGGGACATTAAAACACCCGACCAGGCCCTCTTCCATCTCTACAGTTTCCTGCATTCCTTTTATTCTCCTATTCCCTTCACTTGTCATCAGTTAAATAGTACCTGTTATCTCTGTGTTAAGTCTTCACAAATGGTCAGGCAGTAGCAAAAAATTTTAGGAGCTCTGGATGCCCTTAGGAAAACCCTAATGTTTTTACTGGTTGCGTTCCCTTGCCAACCTCCTGGAAGCTGCATCCTCGGTGCTTAGTCACTGAGGAGTTTTCTCACTTTTGGAGGGGACTCTGCCTATTGTCTTTTTTTCCCAGGGTGTGGGGCACAGTTAGACTTACAGCAGTAACAAAACCTAACCTCTGCGTTGTCGCTGGGTATACAATTATGGTATACTCATGAGACAGCCATTTGAATGGAAAGGGGTTATATGGGATACACCACATTGTATGGCAGAGCAGAAAGTTGCCAGTAAGGTTTCTCACACCACCATTGCGCGCATAATGACCAGTCCAGTTGGTTTCAGGCCAGTCTAAAAAGTGATAGCTATTTTTTACTTTTGAAAAGGTGGGTTTTACACTGGGGAGAGATCTGGGCAAGACAAAGGGGGGTTCTGATGGACTGACTTATGGACCCAGTCCCCTTTATGTTACAGCCAGAGGTAGGGAGGAGACTTCGAACATTAGCGGTCAGCCCAGGCTTGCTGCCATCAACAAACAAATGAGTACTGCCCCAGTCACATTGGGAACAGGAAAACCCTCTTTAGCTGAACCTGTGAGCTCTCCGATTCCCCAAGGGAACAATGTTTCAGAGAGGCTGTCCCACTGCAGAAGGACAAGCAGCAGCTGTGTGCCTCATTACCCACTCTAAGCTTGGAAATGTAAAGTTGCTTAGCTGCTGTAAAGGCCAGCTGTGTCTTCTGTACTCGTCTGTTCTCTGTGTTACCTCAAAGATTATAACCACAAAAGAAAAGAACGCAAACACACATACACACAGGCATGCACAAAATGTTCACTTTTAGGTTTTCAGTCACTACAGATAAATCAGATGCCAGAAATAGCAGAGCTTCCACTTCATCTGACCGGTTCCCATGAAGATGCTCACAGCCCACTTTTGGCACATTTCTTGCAATAGATTTTTGAATTTTGCTTTGTTGTTTATTTTGAAAGATCCACTGGTGTTTGATTTTACACACCTTGCTAGGTGTAGGTCTCTAGTAGATGGTGATTATTTGGATTACATGCAGTTTGGAAACCATAAAAATAACTCAGGTCACTATTCAGATAAGTTTTTCTTCCTTGGTAGAAGTTGTGGAAATGAAATGAATGCAATTGTTTTCTTTCTCTTATTCTTTTTTTTTTTTTCTTTTTTTTTTTTTTTTAAACAGGACTGATTGTTGTGGCAGAGAGGGAGGAGATGAAAAATATATATTTTATTTTTTTTCTGTTTTCAAAAGTTCATTTGATATGAGCAAAGTATTTCTTTAGTATTTCTTCCTCTGGAAGGAAACTAATATATATTTGTAATCTATAGACCAATGGTGACATGAAATGTATTTTGTCTTATTTTCTGTCCTTACCATTCTTATTTAAAAAATAAAATATGAAAGCCAAATTCCTTCCCTTGATAATCATCTAGGAGCTCGTGGCAAAGGTCAGTATGCGTATATATTAGAACAAAATTTGGCAACTGTTAAAATAAAAAAAAAAATCAGAGTATGATTTTGTTGCATGTGAAGTTTCCACAAGGAAGACCCTCATGCTATGGTTTCATGGTAAGCCTTGCATCGCTTCCCAACTGTGAGGAAAGACGTTGCTGTAATATTTCTATATATTTGATGAAAAATAAGAATTATATTAGTATAAGTTTTATCTTTTTGCTTTGTCTTACTGAAATGAGAAACGGAGGAAGCTTCAATGACACCAGGGGCTGGGTTCTGTCCTGTGCTGAGGCCAGACTGATGCAGAGGACGATCAGTGAGCCTGTTACAGGTCCCTGGACCTTTAGTCCCATGGAGCAGTTGGAGCAGCAAAGGCTTGCTCTAATCACTGGTAGCTTCCAGAGGCCACATGTGAATTATGGTGAGGGAGCTGGGTCTGGTCCCTCTCTGTTCCCAATGGTCCTCCCCTCGGTGAGACATCCCCTGTGCCCAGGGAGTGGCTGCAGCAGGGGCTGGCTCTGGAGCAGCTTGGCAGGACAGGCAGATTTCCTGAGCTCCTTTGTGCCATTCGAACTGCTCAAAGGAGCTTAGAACACATGAGAGAGTCTGGCTTGCCTTTTTCTCTGGCAGCTGGAGTACGATGCTATGATCAGAGCGAGCCTGTTGTGCCTCTGGAAACCTGCCCGCGCTGCGTACTCAATAGGAGGCAGTTAGAGTAGGATGAAAATAAACCCCAGCACTGGATATAGGACAGGAGCTGGCTGTATGTAGTGCCTTTGATATTCAAGGTGTCCCAAAGCACTGCACACATAATGTGTTAGTTACTGGAGCTGTATTGTATTTGTAGATAACAGAGTATATATGTTGTTTTCTGAAATGGCTCACACATGGCGAGGGATACCAGAAGTTGGTTCACTGAGGGAAGGCTTTATAGGCCAGGAAGCTGCAGGGTTATTCCTTACCCCTCTTCAAGTGCTATGGGACTCTTGATTTTGGACAGCCACCAGAAGCAGACAGACTCTGCAGCAGTTAAAGTTGACACGTACGTATTGAACCTCTGGAGAACTCGGGGTCTAGCTTTGTACAGCACATTGTGCCTGCAACTGTGCAGGGCCCACATTTCAGAGTGCAGCTGGGAACCCACGTAAATTACATATAAATATTTTGATTTACTAAAAGTGTTTATCTGTGGCTGTGTCTATTTATGTGTGTACATGACTATATATATGTATATTTATAAATATCAGTATGCATATATATAGACTCACACACACATATGCACACAGACTTTTGGAACTGTGCTATTTGAATGACAAAATACCTAGGGATGCTCAGCTACTGGGGTTGCCGGACTGAAGAAATGTCGTTTTCCATTTAATTTGTTGTTAAAGGGGACCCTTTTCAGCAGAACTGAGGAGCTCCTGAATTGTTCCATTGTACTGGTTTTACTATCTCATTTTGGAGTTAAATGGAGGGAAAGAAAATATTTCTAATGTTGATAAAATAAACTTACTTTTGTTATTTAATAGCATCAGTTACTTTTATTATGTAATGTTTCAATGCTAGAAATATCTTTATGTGTTATCCAAGACATGATGATGTCATACATTTCTCACTAATTATAGCATCCCTCAATACTGAGAGATGTGAGGCTGAGTGACTTATATAAGACAGGAGCTCAAGGCAAATTTTGCTCATTACAAAATGGGCGTCACACTCCAGTGGCTCTTTCACCATTTCATGTGATGGCTTGTCTATGTTTTAGCACGTTCAGACGTTTGTGGATGTTTTTACTGACACCTGTCACCTTTGCTTTTCCCCAGCAGCAACAGAATTGCTCAGTCTCAATTCATGGTGCTGTAGCCTGGAATTCGGACTACGTGAAATGTTCCCTGCTGCATGAGGACTGTCAGATAGAAGCACCATAGACATAAAGAAAATAGAACAAAATCCATGTTTTGTTGCCATTGATCTTCCCAGTAATATTTGCAAACGCGACCTGTTGTCGATGAATAGATGGGGCACGTGGTTTTTCTGTCGGTGTGGCAGTGGGAGGTTTGTTTGAGCAGTATTTAATGACCTCTTTTGCTCATTTTTGTCTTGGCTGTGATAGTGACACATGTGGTAGTGGAAGTCACTAACACACAGCTTCACATAGAAAGTGGCTATTTTCCTTTCACCCATCCCAGATGCCTCCTGTGGTGTGTGCCTGTGTGTTGACCCTTCCAGTATATCAAAAGCATGTTGAGATGATCTGATTTTGGGCAAAAGCTATGAAATGGGGAAGGTACACTGGCAGCCTTAAGTTGCTGGGGGTTTAATGGTACTCAAGAGATGTATGGACGTGCTGGGAATTTGGATGCCTTGAAAACACTCCAAGGACAGCTCTGTCCTTGCACTCAATGTACTGCAAGAAGGAAGCAGTTCCTCATGCTGGTTCGAGGTCTGTCATTTTCTTTCCCCCACTTTTTGCTCCTTTTGCACCAGATTAAGATCCATAGAGATATATTTTATAAGAATGGCGTTTAAGCTTTTGTATGAGCCCTCCTACGATGTTGAAAGTAATATTTCTATCGCTATTATACCTATTATTTTCCGTTCCTCAGACATTACTTCCTGCCTTTATTTTCCTCACTGAATCTGAGCCAAAGAGACATTGGGCTATTCTCTTCCTAGTTATTCTAAAGCATCAAATGAGAACATCTTCAGTTGTTTCAGCAGCCCTGGACAGAGCTTATCACAAACCTGTGTTTCTGGGTACCTGTGAAGCTCTAGGGTGCAGTGTTACAGGGTTCACTGTGGTACTCATCTTTTCATTTTGCTTTCTTAACAACAATGTAGGCAACTATTTTTCTTAGTAATGGGATAGCTACAGCTTTAAAATCCTATGAGCTGCCTGCCAAAATCCGTTGACTGCAATGGCGACTCGGTAATGTGCTAAAAGTGACTTGCTACCCTACTGATGATGACCAGAATTTAATGTGGAGGATGTGTCTCAAGCTTCAGTGCTTTAACAACCTTTGGAAGGGCAGGATGCAGCTCGTGGCTGCACTGTGGAAATGCCTCACCCAGCCCTGCATCCAGCACTTGTGGCAAACGGAATATATAGAGGGGTCGGGTTGTCTCAGCCTTTGCTGAGGAGTTACTGGTACAGAATGAGCAGCTCGGCACTTGGCTTGGGCTGCCTAAGAGTAGGCCAAGTACGTGGGCAGTTTCTCGCTTCTAATTCTATTTGGAATATTGCTTGGGAGGGATGGATTACCCAGTGGTCAAAGCAGTGACCATGGCTAAGTGTACTCCAAGTTATGCCGTGGCACCATGCTTCTCCAGACTGCTTACCTGAGATCCTCTGTAGGTACCAGAGCCTGTGGGCCCCCCTTTCCCTCCCCAGCAGGTTTGCAGCACCACTGCCCGTGGCGATGCCCACAGAGACTTATGCTCTCTCATCCCCTGTACATGTGCACTGGAGCAATGCCCCCTGCCTTGGCCAAAGGATTTCCTGGCCACGTATGGTGCCGTTCCTGCAAAAGGGGAAAATTCCCTCCCTCGGGCCTTGATCCCACCAGTAAATTCATTACATTTGACTTCAGTGATTAGGCAGGCTTAGAGCTGAATAACCTTACTGTATTCAGCCATCAGAGTGCATCTTGTCTCCTGCCTTATTTATAAGGTGCCACATTCCAGTCTCAGCTGCAGTTTCTTGTTTCTCAGACTGCTTTTTTTCTTCTTTTTTTTTTTTAAGAAAAAAAAAAGACAATCTATCCTATGCAGTACACATGTATCTAGTTACTCAGGGAGTGGGGAAGACTTGCAGCTTGTTTTAAAAACTTCTCACTCACTCACAGCACATGACAACTTCTAGAGTCTAAGCAGAGGAATGCCTTGCAACAAAAAGAGTTGTTTCAACATGAACACATCTATAATTCAGGAAATAATTTTATGCTTAGCCCTTTAAAAGCAGTCAGTTTATGCTCCTGCATCCCCTACATGGAGGAGATTTTGGGAATCTAAGGCAGCAGTGATTACCTTGACACACACACTGTATGTGTATGATTATCCAAGAAAGAAGGTGAATATCTAAAAAAGCAAAAGACATACTTTCTTCAGAAATTTGTTTCTATTATTTTGCCTCTATCCACTAGCAACAGAGCCCTGTTGGGAATGGTATTTCAGAGTTCACTTGTATGTTAATAGCTCCAGCATTTGTATACAAAGTACATAGAAGCTGTAGCATTTTGGCATGCAAGAAATAAGCACTACTTAGTTTAGCAATATAGTACTACACATGTAATTGCTTCATCTAGAGCCAGCCTCCTTTTGCTGGCAAAGTGTAACACCTGGCTCTTCAATTAGTCCCTGTCTAGGAGGCTGCCTGATGTGTAACCTACCACTCAGCAAAGTGCGCACGGTGGCAATCCAGTGCTCCGTTATGACAAGTGCTTCAGCAATTATCTGACTACTAATGCATGAACCACAGTAGCAACTAATTTCTTAATGTTACACTTTATTTTAATGAGAAAAATGGCCTCCTGGTTCCAACTGCCTTAATGACCTTCAATTATCGCTTTTTCCTCAGCCTGTGGCCAAGTAGAGGGAGAAGGAATCCAGGTCCTGTCTTTGGAGCTGCAGGAACCAGTTAGGTTTGTAGGTATGGAGAAGCTCAAGAAGCTCTTGAGCTTGACGCAGCAGACATGAGTGATTTCTACTTGGCTAATTAGGCTCTAATAGATAGTCCCACTTTTCTAGTGATTTTTGTTTCCCCCATATGACAGTCACATAAAAAATGAAAGAAGGCAAAATTAGAAAAGCAAAACTAAGCTGGCTCCGGGAATGGGGACCCTAGAGAATGGTTTCCATAAGTATAGCTATTTTCTGCTCAGGGTGTTGCAATGCCAGCTACTGAATGTCACTGTGGTGAGTATTTACATACCACAATTAGAGATACCCCCTTTTAATAAAACAAAACAGGTGCATTTCTTCTTCAAGTTCACTGCTCCCAATACTTATGTCATCCATCCAGAGGGATCACCACACTGGCTGGTGGGGCACACCCTTCTATTTGCAAATCTTGGGGCTTTACAAAATGAGACGAGCAATGACACCTCTGCCTGCTCCTTAGCCATACCACAAGTTTTACTTCCAAACGGATGGAAACAACGCCACATCAAAAGCAATGATTACTATAGGTGACAAAGCAAATAGCTGTCTTCCCTCTCCTGTCCCTCACTTCAGCCCTTTTCCCACGACCAGGGTGTCTTTTCTTGATCAGAATGGAAAAACTGTTGTTGATGTTGCTTGTTTTAAGAGGAGATGAGTGCAGTTGTGAGTTGTTTTCTCCTGTGGTTTTTGCTGCTATTGTAATAGTGTCCTTGTCTCCATGGCATGTGGGAGCAGTAAATTCATGTCAAAGCTTTGAAAAAAGTGAGCTTGCTGGCAGCTAATGGCAGGAAGGACATGGAACATAATTTTACTTAAATTTGATTTTAAATAATCTTGAATGCTCTTTGCTTTTCCTTCCCATTTTTTTTTTGCGTTGTCCTTTTCAGATCTTCCTCACTGAAGTCTTGATTCTTCAATGACCTCTTTTTTTCTCTAGCTCATGCTACCTTCGTTTTTGATTGGAATGGTCAAAATCCTTCTCATGTGTTTGCCTCTGGGACAATTCTGCTTGACTACAACAAGCAGGCCAACACAGGCGGTTGGATCTTCTCTGACCGTGCCCAGCCATAGGTAGGGAATGTTGAAATTCGGCTGTAGTAGGGGTGAGTTGGACATGCAGCTCTAAAGGCACCTCTGAGGGTAGCTGTAGTGTCTCAGGAATAAGCAGACAAGAAGCATGATGGACTTGGATATTTCACCTGAGGGATGAGAGGTTGAATTCGACATTTTTAGACTTAGTTTTAATATCACTAGGAAAAAAAAAAAAATTTTTCCTTTTTTTGGTCTATCCTCATGTTCTATCCCTTTGAGATCTTCATGTAAAATATTCTTTGCCTGGGCAAATGTGATTGTGTTTGCTCCGCGACATGCTTGCGAGAAGTGGCAGCTTCTTCCAAGTGGTGAGCAAATGTTCTGGTCTCTCATGCAAAATGGTTGGCCCTGCTACCGTACAGTTTTCTGCTCAGCACATCTCTCAGAAAAATCACAGGAAAATGGCCGAGTCTTATCAGGTTTTTTGTTCCGTTCACATGTCACTGCAGAGCGATTCCTCTCCATCTGCCTCCTTTGATCACGCAACAGCTTTGAGAGAAAAGAAAATAAGTGGCTGAGCCTTCAAAGCACTAAGCAGCTCTTGGGAGCTTTGTCTCTCTCGAGCTTACTGCTGCACCTCACAGATCTGGGCAAAGGGAAAAGGGGGGATGCTTTATGCGCAGAAAGATCCAACTACTGCCTTACTGGCAAAAGTAACATCTCTTTGGAGGCTACCTATTCCAGATGCTCCGGTATGTGCCCGGCAGAGTGTAATAGGAGCTGCCTTCCTTTCTTAAGGGCTCTTGCATGTTCTTTTTATTAAATGTGTTTCTCTTCCTGGTGCCGGGGAAGGGGGCAGCCCCAAGATCCCCAGGCGATTCCTGTCTGCTGCCTCTCACGGCAGCTAGTGTGGCACTGCCCTTTGCAATGGGTGCCATCTAGCTGCCCTCATGCTATGGGTTGCATATGCTCTATCTCCTGTGACTCTGTTGGAAAATGAAATAATTAAGGGTTAAAATCTCTTTCCAAATGGTCTTGGGATGTGCCAGCCTTGGCCGCTGGCCCATCAGGGTGCATTGGGGAGAGGAATGTGGAATATGACTGCCAGCCTTTCTCTGTAGAAATCGTCGCAAGGTGAAACGCGCTTTCACAGTGGGAAGTGAAGGTTATTTTCCTTCTGCCCATATTATTTTGTGCTCTAAACCCTGTGCCAGTCATTTTGGATGCAGCCAGCTCTTTGGAAGCGGGAGGCTTTTGAAAGATTTTGGGAAGTCTAGCCAATGATATAGCTGAGGATTCATGTTCTGCGTCTCCCACACAAACCTTCTGGCAGCCCATGGAGGTTTCAGTGTCCTCTCTGAGTCAGTAAGCAGAACATTTTGCTACAAACTACAGTCCTTCCTTTGTGCCGCTGTTACTGCCACTCTGCTTCTGCACAGCTTTTAGGACAGCTATGGCTTTACAGCCTTTCACTGGGAAAAACCAGGATGCATTGTGGGGAAACATGATTCTCCTTCGAATGCAAATACTCATCAAGCTGCAAGTGTGTGCTAATGAAAATGCAGTGCACATAAGGACTTGAACCTGGTTTATGAGACTGTCACTGCTAGCTCAGTGGGATTTATTCTGAGCAAGAACTGACCTGTTCTTTTATTGCAAAACATAAAGGTTATGCAAAAAACAATCACTACATTTAATGATATGCTTCTTTCTTATGAAAGTCTGACTTTGCAAGTCTAACTGTGTGTCACATGGTTGTGTCACAGAATAAGGAAAGCAGTTGCTGTGTCTTATAATTTATTATCACATCTCACTGGAGGTACTGTGGGCAAAGGGGTAGAGCAGAAGGCAGCAAATCAAGGGGCTGAGGTTTTATTCCTGCCAGTGTCATTGAGTCAGTTTGGGTAAGTCATTTTTTTAACCTTCCTGTGCATCAGTTTCCTTATCTGTAAAATGGGGACAATATAATGTCCCCGTACACAGACAAGTAAGGTGCTTTGTGTTGTAAGGCCAAAAGCTGCTGTACATTAGCTATTTATGAGTTTTTAGTTGTGCCTTGTAATGTTACTGTTATATAGTATCCTGCTTGTTTTGGAACCGTTTTTTGGAGGACAATGGGAGTAGCCCTGTCCCATGCTTTTTAGTTGAGGTGGCTTAAACTGAGATAGCAAAGAGTGCTGCAGGATAGCAACTTTCTAATGAGCTAGTTTGCACTGCTTATGCCTGATTTCCATGTTTGAGCTACCTTGTTTTAAGATTTTTAACTCAGGTGATATTTTTAGTCAATGAAAGCATTCAGGTGATTGCCCTCCCTCCAGAGGATAATATTTTGCTGAATTTTAGAGCAGTTGTATTCCATCATATTGAGTTAATTGAGCACAGAGTGTTTCATTTGGGAAAGCCTGTCTCAGAAATACCTTTTTCTGTCACCTCTCTTCTGATATTGAGGAATCACAGTATTTTGTCCAAGAGCTCAGAAATCACCACTTGAGTTTGTTGATGTTAAAGGTTTCTGGGGAACAAACCCAAACATCTGAGGGAGCAGACTCTGGTCTTCACGTTAGTGTCTTCTCTGGCACCTTGGCAAGCGAGAGATGAAAATTGATAAAGAATGAGGATAACAGTTAGCAAAGACTCAGGGAAATAGAAGTGTCTCCTGTAAAAAGGAACAAGGCTAAGAAGGGGTTGTCATGTAGGATGGTGATGAACAGGCATATGATGGGAAGGCTGAGTTTCCATCAGGCTGCATAGTGGATATTCCCTGGCTGCTTCCTGGAGGTGGTGGAGGAAGGATAAAGGACAGATCCTGATATCCTCTGCACTGAATTCAGTCCAGGTGAACCAAGGTGTGCTAGAGGTCAGAATCTGGACCACTCCATAATATGTTTAGTGCCCTTGGTAAAGCAGTAAAGCCAAATAACAAATGCGCATAATCAGCCAGCATTTCATGGGCATCCAGAGTTCCAGTATTTGTACATATCCTATTATCTGAACCCACATCTGTTCCAGGAGTTGTAATAACATCACAAAGGGCTCTTTTATGCTGCCTGACCCCATGCATAATGCCCTGGAGCTGTGCATCATGAGGCTGCCAGCTGGCAAAAGGAATCCCAGGCATGCAGCAGCACCCACAAAACGAAGCTGTGTGTTTAACAGAGAATCAGGGTCCAGGTAATCAGCAGTGAAGAAGGAAGCAGGAAGGGGGAGGGGGTTTTTGTAACAAAGTAAGAAAGTATTTTCTTCCTTGATTTTCTTGCATTTCCTCTTTATACAAAGTATCTCCATCACTGTGTTGCTAAACAGGGGAGATTTTAAACTGGGGGAAGGAGGAAATCTGTATACAGTGAAAGAGCTGGTTGCGGTTCCTTTTGGACAATTTTTCTGTATTGTGACTTGTGTGGAAATGTACAGAATAAAAGTGAAGAAGCGCACGCCTTGGCTGGGCTGAGTTTCCTTGTGTTATTTGCCAGTGGGGCTGGGTTGTTGCTTCTGGCAGAGGGCTAAGACTGGTGTGACTCGAAAGCTGTGAAGAGCCAGGGGGAGTGGAGGAAAGAGATGCAAGGGTCAAAATTCTGCGTGTGTGTGTGTGGCAGGGCAGGGCAGGGATGGGAAAGGAGTGTTAGGCCTCTGGATAAGCCAGCTTCAAACTCATGGTAATTAAAAAGGTTAATGATACCTGTAATATTTCCAGGGAAACTTTCTTGGTCCCTCAGTACACTCAGATTGTCAGCACAGCATTCAGGGTGTGCAGCAGAGATCCAGCAGAGATTAGCAGAACTGTAATGTAGGCATGTAGGTCACCTCCGGGTCTCAGCTACACATCCCAGGAGTGTTTCTCCAACGCATTCTCTGATTCACCCCCCAATTATCTTAGGTTCTTAGTTTAGCACTGTTTTAGACTAACCCATGGGCATATAATGGCTCTGTTTGTTTCTGACCAGCTGTGTGTGACTGAAGAAATTTCTGTCATGGTCATTGCTTACTTTCTTGTCTTCAGCAGCTGCCCTCCCTGCCCCACTCAGGAGCTTCTGCACCACTTCTGACACAAATTTTCGTGGCCTCTCTCCCATGCAAGTTGATATTTCCTAATGGTTCCCTTGCCTTTGCTCTCTCATCCTGAAATCATATTTCTGAATCGTTTTGTGATGTTTCCTTTGCCCTGTCTCTCTGGGACAGTGCTGGCCACAAAAATACCTCCCTCGCACATGGTTTTGGCTCTCTCCTCTACTCCGAGCCCTTTGATGCTCACCGCTGCTGCCAGCAGCCAGCTGTGTGCTTGTCTCTTTTAAAGGATATCTTAAGCCCCCTTTTCCTGCTGTCTCAGACAGCCTGAGTATATTATTATTAATAATAATCATGCTAAAAAGACTGAATGTTCCTCCTGCACAGGGCTGGCCAGAATGTAACCTAGTCTTGAGTTACTCTAGGCCTTTCTGCACAGTGAGAAAGCACTACCAAGCACAGCTTTGATGGTCAGAAGCACTGCGGTACAAAGCACAAACTCCTCTGGGGTCCTTCACAGTCAAAAGCTGCACCAAATGTCTGCCAGCTGCTCTCTGGGAATGTCTGTGGAGAAGAGATGCTTTTTGATGTGCTCAGAGCAACATCTGGAGGTGTTCCACCACCTGCCGGCAGAGCTGCTTGGTAGTGAGTTTAAAAAAAATGAGAGTACAACTTTACATCCTACCAATTTTGCACCCAAAATTCTTGAAGGTGTGTGGCCTTGCACATGTGTGTAGCTCTGAAAAGAGTCCAGCTATTGCTTTGCTCATCCATTGTAATTTGCCCTTGTTCCCCGTCATTTCAGCTATGTTAGCTGCTTCAGGGCTGATTTCCAGCCAACTGAGCCTAGAAAAATCTTTCATAAAGCTGTTGTGATTCATATATGTACTTATATATATACACATATATCTTTCTCATAGGCTAATACAATTTCTTAAGTGGAGAATTCCCTTTTTCATGCAACCTTTCTTTACATATGAAATGTAATAACTTTTAACTGTTTCTTTAAAAAGCTAATCCTTTCATAGTAGGAATGTAGCTGCAATGAAAAAAAAAAATCCATTTGTGGGAGAAAAAAAAAGAATACTGACAGGAATCATTTGCTTTTAAAAAAACAACTCAGAAAACCCCTGCAGTTTCACTGCAGCCAAGTGACTTCAGTATTTCCCTGCAGTTAAACTGTCGTTCTCTCTCTCAAGGGATCTTTCAAACTAGGTAGTGATGCTTGTAAGAGATATTTCCAAGGCTGTTAAGTTTAAAAATAGGTAAAGATTGGAAGCGGTCCCATAATTTCAAGGTGTTGGGTCTCATGTTTTTCATGGTCAAGGGTTCATATTGATACATGAGAATTGTATTTGCAACCATATTCGTTCACAGCAGGCATGCAACAGGAGCAGCAAAGCTTCAGAACTGCTCCTTCTCTTCTTCTGCCCCATCTGTCTATAATCATAAGTGGTGTTAGGGATGTTCAAGTGTATGTGTCTGCGTGTGTGTTTATCAGGAACTTTTTATGTGAACATGGAGCTAAAGTATGAGTGTGCCAACTGCATGGATCCTGCTGCTCTCATTCAGTACGGCAAGCAATCCCACAGGTAGGAAGGTGAACTGACCCTGAAAAATAAAGATTTTGTGTCCCATGGGTATGAAACAGGAACTGCCTGCTGGGATTTAAACTCAAATGGACAATCTGTAGCATAATATGAAGCCAGATGAAGCACTGCCTGGTTAATATCTGTAATCAAGTTGTTATCTAATCAGGGAGCTAATAAAAATCAGTAGCACTAACTGTCAGAAGAACTTTTGACTGCAGTCTTGTCTGTTCTGCATTTGTCACTAAAGAACCTTGTGGCTTGGCAAGAAACTGCCCAGGGCAATTCACTCTCATTTGAGAGGTTTGGACTTTGGGATGCAGTGTTCTGCAGAAGTTAGAATAAAGCAGAAAACTTCTCATCAAAGGGTGGGTGTAGGTCAACTCAGGTGGGTTTTCTGTTATGCTGGACAAAAGGTGGAGGGTACGTAGTAGTTGGAGGCTTTCTTGATGGTTGGTTTTTTTAATAGAAAAATGAAGAGGACGTTTAAAAATTAAATAGTAAGATTAAAAAAATATCTCTGAATGGTATTCTGGATCCTGAAGCCTCATCCAGCCTGAACGACCATGAGTCAAACAATGCTGTCAGGTGATACAGACTAGTGTTTAGCGTCTAGAATTTGGAGGTTTGCTGCTGATATAACTAGCCAGCAGGCTGAGGATGGTCTTTGCTAGAAATAGGGTGTGATTACCTGCCTGCTTCTGTTAATGTGTGTATGTGTCAAATTTATTTGCTGACAGAACAGATGATATTCTAACAAGCTCTGGTCTTTCTCATTCCATTTACGAATATATATTTAGCTTCAGGAGTACATGTGTTTTGCTAATGGATCTCGGTATCATCCCTGAAGTAGGTAATATTGGGATGCAAGGCGCCATATAAATATAGGGGTCATTATTCTGGCTCTTCACTCTTTTTCCTTGTTTCTCACTTCTGCCTTTTACCAAATGTAAGGTGAAAGGGCAGATATAATCATTTGTGATTAGTTGAATAAGACAATTGCAGAATAAGGGGTCACTGGATAACTAACTGTTTCTCGGTACAACAGCGCTATTAAAAGTTCTCCATAGTCTTTTCAGTCATTTAAGCTTTTCCAACTTAATTTTTAGTTTGTGTGACCTAATGTTGCAGTGAGGGCCTGAATTTTAGGGATATTTGCACAGATATGACTGGAATTAATGTTATGTTATGGTAAACCAATGAACAGCTTGTAGGTTGCAGATTGAAGCTTGTAGATTGAAATGTCCCATAATACAAAACCATGCGAGCGGTATTGTCTGTAGCTGCATGCTTGCATGATTCCAGAAGTTACCCTGAAATTCTTACACTGGATTTCCTGTCAAGCTGAACTGTACTTGTAGTGCCCATCTTTAAAAATGTGAGCTCCACCTGGGAGACCTAGTTGTGTATTGCAGTGCTTTGCAGATCATTTGGGGTTTTTTTCCCCTTTAATGATGAAGGAAGTTAGATCTGTATCCAGAAGTTAAGCATGTGTGTGCATATGTGGGGGAAAGAGAATAAGGGCTAAGGTCTAATTAGGATTATGAGGCACTGTTTGATTTGGATTATTAATACCCTCCAATCTTCTCATGGTTAAGATTTTTTTTTTTTTTCCCAAAAGCTTCCATAATTTTCTGTATTCTGATTTTGAAATGCCAGCAATACAGTATCTGGATTATCCTTTTATTTTCTTTCTTTTTTTTTTTTTTTTTAAATTAACAAACACTGATATTAATCTTTCCAGAATACAGATTCTAAATTGCAGCCTTTTTCAGTGTCTTGACTCAGTCATCCAAAAGAAGAAGACATCTGTAAAAATTATGATATATAAACAGAGGCCTTGAAGTCAAAGACTTGGGAACGGTGGATGATTCAGGAACACCATTGCTATTGGCCAAAGGTAATTTTTATGCTTTAGATTCTTCCTTGTTACTTGTTTCTTGGGGAGATGAAGCTTTTTGATGTCAGAAATGAACTTTCTGCTGCCAGACTGTAATGCTTATTTGTAATTGTTTCAGATCTGCACTTTTGTCTTACCCAGACATATTGAACCTTCCTGTTGTTGCTTCACTTCTTTCCTAACCAATATGAGAGTTTTTGGTGGCTCTTTGACATGTATCTGCACTAGATCACAGAAACAATGCAAGGAAATAAAACCAGGTGGCTATGGGATTCCTTCGGACACAAAACAAGAGATGTTTTTTCTACTTATGTGGAGTAGAACCCTTTGGTTCTGCAGTCACAGCATTTAGTCAACACTTGATGGATTGTTTTACGGGGAGGGGAGATGGATGCTGCAAATTCAGTATATTCTCTGGTGGCTGTTTACTCACAGGAATTGTGTGCAACATCCTCTTCTGCTAGGCACAGCAGAGCTCCTTAATTGCAGGGGGTAAGTTTTTTGCTCAAGTGCTGTGGTTTGGGCTGGGCTGGGCACTAAATGAGCAAAAGATGCTCTCTTTAACCCCTCTCCTTCAAAGAGGGAGACAGAATAACAGGGAGAGAGACACTTATGGGTTGAAAAGAAATGAAACTAATGAAATATTGATAAGATAATAATATTAATAAGAAAATAATGGAACATATGCAATATATACAAAATCATTACCAAGCTCCCATCATGTCACTGGCAGGCACTGGGAAAGTCTCACAATGGACTCAGCAATGGATGGAAAATGGTTTCCAGAATGTGTGGATGAGGATCAAAGGCAGATGAACAGAGCCCTCCTCAGATGTTGAACATTGAGAAAAGAAACTGACCCCTTTGACCCATTAGCTTTTATACTGAGCATGATGCAGATGGGATGGAATACCCCATTTGTCAGTTTTGGGTCACCTGT